GGACGTGGTCCGATGGTATACAAAAAATAATTTACCGCTGAAGATTAAAATCCCATTAGAAAATGGACGGGGTAGCACCCAAACCAAAACAACTAAACGTAAAGTACCAAATAAAAGATGCTACTCCATAATCTGGTGTTTATGGGTATAAATCCCAGGATCTGGAAGCTAACGAAGCGACCCACGCACAACCAAACGTCAGCAGAAAGAAAAGAAAAATGGCGCTGGACGCGTCTATACACGCACGAACAAGGTATCTTGATCCGTATACGGCTAGTACGTAAAGAAATCACAAGGTGGCGCTGGTTGCCATAGGGTGGAACCAACTCAACGAGGGACCAACGATATTTTATGAGGAAATTTCTGAGATTGTCATCAATAATACTATAACATTTAGTGTCCAAATGGTTTTAACACAATACTGAATCGCTGAGAAAGAAAAATATAATACGTATGAAATTATACGATCAATAAACTGTGAAATTTGCCAAATGAAAATCATTGAAAAGGGTTTGTCCTAGGAATCGTCACTCTACCAATAATAAAGAGAAATTCAAATTACTGGTAAGTAAAAAGACGTGATTTTGGCACGTGATCAGAGGACCGTTATTTTTACTCTCTTTCTGAAAATACAGACTGTCGACAGTGTAGTTGTATCTTCAGGCACTACTATGCTTTATATTGAAGATTAACATCGTTAAACACAAGTCGCACAAACAAACTCCAATGCATATAGATCAGTTGCAAATGTATGTGTAAGTGAGATATGGAAGTAATTCCTGTAGTTCTACTTGTAACCCGCCAAAAGCCATGAAAATACCGAAACTGAATTTTAAATAGATTTATAATAATGTTTGGATAGTACCGAGTCATTTTGTTTGTAGGCGAAACGCTAGCGCTGAACGAGAGGATAATGTTATCCTTGGTGAGCACCGGTCAAGACTGTCCCTTTATAGTATGTATGACGTATGCCTTCCACACGCCCGACAAACTCTGCTTTATCCTGGACCTGATGAACGGCGGCGATCTGCACTACCACCTCTCGCAGCACGGCGTCTTCAACGAGACAGAGATGAAGTTCTATGCTGCCGAGGTCATATTAGGTAAGATCAGAAAAACATTCTGCCAAAAAATACACGTTCGGTCAGCATTACCAGAATCGACCATTTGACTTGCTGACGTATCTTGTTAGACCTCATACCTCTAATAGATGATAGTTCGCCCTGCTTTCCTTCGTTGTCCTACCTAAAGACCAAGCCTATAGCATGCTGATTATTGCCCATAAGCATGAAACACAGTTGGTAGATGACAAGGTCGCGCCCCTATTTGTGACTCTCCTATTTTGGGGAAAACGCTCGACCACGTCAATTTTGATTTCTAGGGGGACGTTTTTTCATTTATAGGCGTACAATACAGGGTGATCCAAGAATAAGATATTGCGTTACACTTTATATTTTTAAGTGGAGACCTCCATTTTTTAATTTTTAGATTTTCCATGGTTTTTAGTAAGTTTTGTACAATAAAGTTTATACCTATCTTCCATCGTTGTGAAGCTATTTGAATTTATAATAACATTCTAGAAATTGTGACGATCATCTTGAATGGAATCTGGCTTCGTAATAAAAACTTTACTTTTCAAATGCCCCGAAAGAAAGTAATCTAAATGACTTAGGTCCGAAGATCTCGGCGACCACTCGACTTATTTTTTCAGGATATTGCAAGTGTACCTCTTGAAACAAGTGTGGATTCGAGTCACTCCAATATCGACAATTATGTCTAGCTACAGCACCATGTAAATAGAACGTACACTCATCCAAGAAAAAAATATTAAATAACAGATTTTCATTGTTGATTAAACGTTGGGACATCAATTCACAAAAATTTTCTATCAAAATCGTCTTCATTTCATGGACAATTTTTATCTTGTACGGGTGAAATTTATTGTCTTTAAAAATTCTTGGTACTGTTGAGCGTGAAAATCCTGAAGAAGTAGCCAATCCACGAGTGCTTTGGGTGTTGTCAAGTGCCACTTGTCCCAAAACTGTTATTTCTGCGGTTTCGTTTCTAACTGGTCGAATATTAGACACAGATCCAGTTTCTTCAAATTTTCTTATCAAATTAGCCACATACTTATCGTTAATATTTTTTTCTGGATGTAACGCATTAAACAACCGGGCAGTAGCTCTTGCAATGCTCCCATTTTGGTAGTACAGTTTTGTTATTTCTACCCTTTCTTGAATTAAATAAGTCATTGTTCAATAGTTATCATTACTAGGTAAGTAACTTAACAATATGAAATGAAAGACGAAGTTTTTCTATGACATACGATGACTGACTAATGGTATATGTTCTTGCTGGTTAGTATTCCATTCTTATCAGTATTAAGTTAGTAGAATTTTATTATAAACAACTTAAACAGCTTCACAAAGATTGAGGATAGCTATAAACTTTATTATTCAAAAGTTATTAAAAAATATAAAAATTAAAAAAATGGGGGTTTCCATTTGAAAATCTAAAGTGTAACACAATATTTTAATTTTGGCTCACCCTGTATTGTACGGCTATAAATGAAAAGACGTCTCCCTAGAAATCAAAATTGACGTGTCCCAGCGTATTCCCCAACATATACCAGGAGGGTCACAAATGGGGGTGCGACCGGAATGGGACAAACTAAATAATATTTTTTATTTTTTCCAGGTTTAGAACATATGCATAGGAGATATATTGTATATAGGGATTTAAAACCTGCAAATATACTATTAGACGAACACGGTCATGTTCGGATATCGGACTTAGGATTAGCCTGTGATTTTTCTAAAAGAAACCCCATGCTAGCGTGTAAGTATTCATACTATAAATTACTTTTTTCAACATTGACGAAAACCGATAAAACAGCTGACACTACTAGAGCGTAGAGTGTGTGTAGTACACACTGTGTCCCAATAGATTCTCTGGGGTTGAGACGTGCAATTTTTCAACGACCTTACGTAAAAAGTATAGTTCAAGTTCATGTATGGATCGTTTTGGATGAAGGAGTACATCAGTATTATGTAAACGTACTAAGATGTTCAGTTTGCTACTGTCCATGCCACTGGCAAGGAAGTATTGTAATCGCGAATATTTCGAAATTAAGATATGTATGTATATACATAGCCCAAGGCTTTATTTGTCATTTCGTTCCATTTCTTCTTATTTTAACTCATGAATTCCCAGTTTTGTAGACCAAAGCTTCTAAGATCTGCTTCTACTTCGCTCTTCCATCTTTCCTTCGGTTTCCCTGTCCTCTCCTTGCCTCCTATGCTTCTGCTAACAACTATTTTTGGAAGCCTATTTTCTACCATCCTTTTAACCTGCCGTAAACCTTTGTTCTCTATATATCCTGTGATACTTGATTCTTTATACATACCTGCAAGCTCTTGGTTTGTTCTTCTTTCCTATATACCATTGTTCAGTTCCCTCCAAAAATTTTCCTTAATACCTTTCTTTCCCACAGCTCGAGGATATTTATATCTGCCTTCCTCGAGATCCATATTTCACGAGCAAATGTACCTGATGGTCTTATTACTGTTTTATTTAATCTAATTTTTAGTTTATTACTTATCAACTTGCTTTTTAGGTAATGGTTTAGGCTATACAGGGTGTTAGGGAAATAATATTCGTAACTTTATGAGGTGATTCCTTGTATTATTCTAAGCAAAAACGTTCATGTCCGAAAATCGACCATTTCGGAGCAAAAAAATGCTGAATTTGATTCTTTTTAGTAATGAAGTAAATTAATTTTGCACCTTAATAATTTAAAATCATATACCTAATAGCGTAAAATGTATCAATACATCTATTTATTAATTGTCTCTAACAAAATAATTTTCTTGCTTATTAAATACAGTTTTCCGAAGAAAAACAGTCAAACAAAATCCCCCACAAAACTGGCAACGTCGTACTCCACCTGCACTGCATGTATCATCGCGTGTTGTTGTGATTACTAATGTACATTTAACTGTAACTTTATGTGATTTACGGATGTGTTTTTTTTTCTTTTTTCGTGCACCGCATCGCATTCAAATAAGACTGATAATCGTGGGAGTTGGTGGTGTGTATCGCCACGTACCGGTAACTTCTGTCATTTTTTAAGCAAATGTACTGTACTGAAAGCGTAATTAAATAAACAATATTAGCTGCAAAAAACTGCGTAAAGGTATTCAATAATTCAAGGGACATTTTCAACAAAAATATCATACAAACGTAAACAATTCGATGAATCAGTTGCGGTCGCCGTGCGCTCGTATCGCGCTTGCGTTTGCAGCGTTGCCAAATGTTTGAGAAAATTTAATTATCTACGACACGCTATAGTGAACTTTTTTACTTAGAATAATGCTCTTAAAGTTACAAATATTATTTCCCTAAGATCCTGTATAAACATCTATTTCCCTTCCCCAGTCTTCCTTTGATTTCTTCCTTGTGTCCGGTTTTCTTGTGAATGTTGATCACAAATAGACAAATTGACCTCTTCAAATTGTATACTTTGCCACTGTAACTACAACATATTATACCGTTTTTCTGGTTTCTTTTGGGTGTGAATAGCGGCCACTCCAGAACCTTCGGGGTCAGTCTCGCACCTCGCTTCGATGTCGAAGGAGAGTCCCTGACGATGTTGTCAACAGATGGCGCTAGTAGTACCATTCATTCTTGCTACAGTATGATGTACCTCACGAAAAACCATGTCACTCATTTCGGTTGGTCTGTCTGCCCTTTAATTCTTGGCCCATCTATAACCTGGAGATTACCTCTCGGATTTTGATAAAATTTTCACATAAGGTTACTGATCTGCCAAAGACGAAACAGTTTTGGAGTTTTTGCATATCGGTTTAGAGCTAAGGTCAAAAAAATGGAAAAAATGAATAGTGCCCAAACTTTGTTTTTCAATGCTCAGGTGTTCTTGAGTTGGTAGTTGTAAGGGTTGGGGAGAATATATTTTAACTAATTCTGTTTTTATGTTTCAGAGGAACTCATGGTTATATGGCACCTGAAGTATTATCAAAAGGCACTGCGTACGATTCGAGCGCAGATTGGTTCAGTTTCGGTTGTATGTTGTACAAATTGTTGAAAGGCCATTCGCCTTTTCGCCAACATAAGACCAAAGACAAACATGAGATCGATAGGATGACATTAACTATGGTAAGTCATTGTTTTGGTCAAATATCTCCGAAACTTTAATACTTTGTTTTTAAGCTTCTCGAATGATCCATGCTTAAACACTGTGATAAAAAAATTTCACTAGTAAATAATAGTAGTAATGTCTACTGCATTTATTCAGATGTTTTTTTATTTCGTCGGAAGCCACTGAACGTTTTCCGAGCAGCATTTTTTAACTATAATTTTCGTTTTCAGAACGTAGAATTACCAGACTCATTTAGTAAAGAATTAAAATCATTATTAGAGGGGCTACTGCAAAGGGATATAGATAAGAGATTGGGCTGTAAAGGACAAGGGTAAGATTATTTTTCTAATAATAAACAATTATGCCTTATTAATTTCCGTTGAAAGCTCTATCTAAACCTCCTAGGGGTTGATGCGAGGCTTGTCCGGAAAATACGTATATGGTTTCCTTCCCCTGAGACAAGATGCACTTCTGCCAACACCGTTTCCACTGTTGATACGATCGCTGAAAGTCTTCAATTGTGAGGCTCTTCTTTGCCGTGTCGTTTCTGTCTTCACAGATTCTACATCCCCCAAGTGCCACCTTCGAAGCACCATTTCGCATTTTGGGAACAGGAAGAAGTCGGTAGGTGCTAAATTGGGCGGTGTTGTGTCACGGTGATTGAGATTCGGGTCAAAAACTCGCGCACAACGAGAGACGTAGCGCGTTGTCGTGATGAAGGATCCAACTCCCCCTTGTGCCAAATCCGGTCGAACTAGGGACGCAAAACTTCAATGTAGAAATTTCCGTTCACTGTCTGGCTGGGAGGAACAAATTCCTGGTGAACAATGCCCAGAGAATCAAAGAAAACAATCAAAATTGTATTCACATTGGACCTTGATTTTTTTCTTTTTCTTTTGCTCTCTGTTCCTCTGCTTGCTTCCGCTCCATGCTTTGTGATTTCAACTCCACATCGAATTCGTAGAACCAAGACTCATCTCCAGTGATGACCCGGTTGAGAAGGTCCCCCTTTCCTCTGCTTCCAACCAGTCCTCACAGCAAGCAACCCTCCTTGCTTTCTGGAGTCAAGAGCTTCGGGACGATTTTCGCACTACATTTTTTCAATTTAAAGTTTTCTGTTAGAATTTCGTGGACCATTATTTGCGGTCATGTTTCCACATATTCTCGGCCTTCCCGAAAGCTTTTCAATGACTGGTTCCTTCAGAGAATTGTTGTGTCCGTAAACTGGTTCCAAACACTCAAAAATCTCACGACCACTCTTGCTTAGTTTTGCAAGAAACTGGTGTTGATGCGCTGTTGCCTCGATGAGAGAGAGCTCCATGCCGACGGCAGATAAAAAAGGCTAGTTCCAACAAATCACACGTAAAGCCTAGTTACTTGCAAGAGAGAGGGAACCACCTCGACACGACGCCCCGGATTTTTTATGGCGTATTTTCCGGACAAACCTTGTATAACACCGTTAGTTTAAAATGGATTTTTAGAAGATTTTAGTGACCGCTTTCGAAATTGCTTGTGTTTATAAGATTTGTGTCTTCAGATCGGACGAAGTGAAGGAACATCCATTTTTGCCGGAATTGACTGGCAAAAAGTGTACCTGCAAAAATAGCACCCCTCCTCTTATACCCCCTAAAGGAGAGTTAATGCGGCTGATGCTTTGATATTGGTTCTTTTGATGAAGAGGACACCAAAGGAATCAAGGTATTTTTTATGTTTCTCGTGTTTAAATATCCAAATGAATCTAGGGTTGACCAACAGATCACTACACTTTAGAATAGGGACTAACTAATTCTTGAGTCATACACATATTCAATGATTTTTTTTGCAGTGACAGATGCGGATCAAGAACTCTACAAAAACTCCCCCTTGTGATATCAGAACGGTGGCAGAATGAAGTGGCGGAAACAGTATTCGAAACTGTGAACTTTTGAAGCTGACAAAACAGAGCACAAAAAAGGGCAAAAACAAAAAAAGCTGTATGACATAGATGAAAAAAGGTATTTTTCTTTGATAAACTGATGATGAAGTGTAAATGTTTTTAGTATGGTGCGAATTTATAAAAGACATAGTAGCATTGAATTGTTGCCTGGACTCAACTTCAACCTACATTTGATGAATGATTTTACGCGGAATCCGCTTTCATTTTGTTCAGTATATAAAATACATTCGTGTCGCATTAGTGTGACGAGATTGGTCTCCGAAAAAGAAATGCAATATTGAAAGTGATGCAATAGTAACTTTGCAATGTACATTTTTCACATATTTATTTCAATATTTCGCTTTTTATATCCTCGACAAAAAGTGAGGATTTTACTTAAAAATTTATCTGATCTTACAGTGACGTTTGAAGGTCGTGGTTAGGTTTACTGGCAAGGATATACTCGATATTAAAATTGTCCGCAATTTGTATCTTAGGAACTAAAAATAGACAGCTTCCCGTTAAAAGTTCATTACATCTTCGAATGACCTTGATGACCATAGTCAAGGTCATGGACATCCTTGAACAGAAAGTTTCTTTTTTTTAATATTTCCGGTGTAAAAAATAGGGGTTCCATTTAAAAAACTGTCCTGACCTTCACATGAGCTTGAAGCTTATAGTCAAGGTTATGTTCAAGGTCACCATTAGATTAACCTTTCCAAACTATACAACTTTATAACACAACTTTTTATTTATGAAAGGTATTCTTCGAGATATTTTGTCATTTTCCTACTTCGTGGACACCCTCAAGTACCCATTAAGGTCAAGGCCATTGGCAAAGGCATACTTTAATATTAAATTCCCTGCTATTAACATTTCCGGTGTCAAAAATAGGTGTTTGATTTAAGAAACCTGTCTTGGCCTTCAAATGGCCTTGAATGTCAACAACGTTTGAAATCACTAATGAACGAATCATTTCAAACCTTACGACATTGATTTACAACAATTTTTCTCTATGAAACGTATTTTTGAGATATCTTGAGCTATCCATATTTTTACACCCTGTTTATTTTCGAGGATAAAACCAAGCCTACAACCTTCCTCGGGTTTATGTACACAAATGTAATGTTCACATTCTTACGTCTCTCCGTGCTGAGATTCAGACGTGATGCTAACAGAGATTCACATTTATACAGTAGCGGACTAAAGTTTGGAAACATTCTTAGTGATTTTTTAAAAGTGTGCTAATTTTGTATTCTTTATTAGGGACTGTTTTTTTCATATAGTTTGCTTACAGTCTTGAGGATACAAATGATTTGTTTGCTGTGGTACTACATACTAGCATTAAAATACCTTCATATTATTTTATGGCCAAAATGAGACGACAAAAGTATGGGAACAAATTTTTTATTACGAAATTAAATAAATAACTCTACAAAAGATGTGAAAAATACTGCTTAGTTAATATTTGCTAGCATAGTCTTTAGCATTCAACACTGCCTGGCATCTGCTGCTCATAGAAGACACCAATTTTTTACAGGGGGGATATTTTGCCAAATATTTTTTACATAATCAAATAAATCGTCCCTATTTGTAAGAGTTTTTCTCGTCAGTTGTCTTTTAACATACTCCCAGAGATGTTCTATAGGGTGTAGGTCCGGGGATTGCTAAGGCCATGTAAGAACATTAACATATTTTAGTCTTAACCAGTCCTTTACGAATTTTGAGGTTTTTGGGGTCATTATCTTGCTGGAATGTCCACCGTAAAGCCATTTCTTCTTCAGCAAAAAGGAGCATGTGTTCAGTAAGACTATCTTTGTAAAGTTCTTGATCCATTTTCCTAACAATTTTAACAATTGGACCCGTTCAAGAACTAGAAAAATAGCCCCAAACTATGATGTTGCCTCCACCGTGCTTAACTGTTGGCAACTGATAGTTTTTGTAGTATCTTTTTCGTATTGGGTCTCACATATGCCGTATCGTCTGATCCACACAAGTTAAATTTGCTTTCATCGCTCCATAAAACTGCATTTCATTATTGTTTTGTCCAAGTTAGATGAGTTTTAGTAAATTCAAGCTGAGCAATACGATTTTTTTAAAATGTGATGCTTTTGCACTGGACGCCTACCAAAAAGCCCAAAATCCACCAAGCGTGTCTGCACGGTTCTGACAGAAAGATTTCCGGTACCCTCTTCTACGATTCTTTCGAAAATCTGTGTGGCTGGCATTTGAAGATCTTCATGGGACAAACGTTTAATGCAACAATCCAAAATATAATCGTTTTTCTTTTCGGTCTTCCGCACCTGGGCCGCGTTGTCGTTGATCCGTAATCTTGATATTTACTAATAATTTTTTAAATGATCCCTTTGTCATTTTAATCTTTGAGAAACGTCAACATTTCTGACGCCACTTCTAAATAATTCAATTACTTTGTCTCTTAAATCTTTTGAAAATTCTTTTACTTTTGCCGATCTCACTGATGTTAATATTTATCGCACGCAATATCAGGGTATCCCAGAACGAATAAATACGGCAAAACTGAAATGTTTCCATACTTTGTCGTTAAAAAACTCTGGTATTTAAAAAAACGCGTGTGTTTATTTTCATAGAATTTAATATTGATAAGATAAACCTACCTACCTATATTATCTGTTCCTTTACAATTTTAATTTAGGTATATGAAATGGTTCATAATAATGTTAATATTTGTTTCCAAACTTTTGTCCGCGACTGTATAACAATACATAAATTGTTGGTTTTTGTGACTTGGAACACTTTTATAAATTGCACAACAGTCAGTGTTGCAATTTGCAGTCCGTATGATGTTCTTGCTGTAATATTAGTGTTAAATAATCTCTAAATTTGTTTCAGAATCGGATTGCATTCTCCATGGCTACGTAAAGAAACTAGGAGGTCCCTGGACTAGCAGCTGGCAGATGCGATATGCGAAACTGTATCCGAATCGATTAGAGTTGCATCCCGACTCAGCGAAGCCTGAACTTGTATTCATGGATCAAATCGAGGAAGTCAGCCCGGAATTAGTGCAAGTTAAGAACGAGAACTGCATTGTGATCAGGTTGCGGGACGGCAAGGTCGTTCTCACGAATCCGGTAAGTTATCGTTCTGGATCTATATTTTAACTTTTCAAATTTATTGTATCTGTTGTCAATAGAATCCATTTTCATGCATTCGTCATCATGATTTAAATCAATGATTTATTTTAGGTGACATTTTTGATAAAAATCAGTATCGAAATGAAACTGGATTTATTTCATACAAGTTCAGGGATTATTAGCCACGCGTTTTAATTCAAATCTGTATGTAATAAACACACTTTAATTCAAAACATACAATGAAAGCGTTCTATAGTTGTAGTCACCGTTTTTGGCAGTTCCGTCATCATCGCCATATTAAATAAGTAAACAGATCGTACCTTCAGCGCATCTGCTACTCTCTCCAGTACGCATGAAGTGGGTAACAGGGGACCACTATTTTCATTCTCTTCCTGGAAATACCCTAATACATTTAGTACGAGCTGCCGGCCTTCTCCATTGATCGTATTTCCGGGCATTGTACAATTTTATATTGAAGATTGATAACAGGACAACTCAAATTGCACGCCGATGTCAAGTAAGTTGTCACTCGACAAATATTGAAGGGGGCACTCATACGTAATGACAAAGTTGTCGAGAC